CACTGAATGACAATTAATGATCCGTTGAAGAGAACAAGATCCATCTCGTCGTAATGTGTTCATCATATGTTATTTCAATGGTTATTCGCTGGTATCACTAATGTAACATTTCCCATGCCAGTACACTGTGTAACTATTCAAATTTCAATGGTATAGCTGTGAGCCGTTATTTGTTGTTGTTTCTCAATAGGGTTCACGTCATGGAAATCGAATGAAACTTATGTCGATCAGTGAAATGCAACTAAAAACTACTCTGTGAAGCGCTCCGGTAAACCACTTCACATTGTTGGTATTAGACTCAATGAATAGTAACATTGCAACAAACATTGCACTATATTACACAGATTTGGCTATAGCAGATAGTAAGATGATCGTCTGACTGGAATTATTTGTTATTTTATAGAAATCATTTTTTTTTCTATTAACGTCTCCATGTCTCTGGCTGAGTAATCATTGTCAGGGGACACGTAAATCATCCTTCTATATTATAAACGAAGGGATATTCATATTACGTTATCACAATACTAAATCGAATCGATCTTTCATTTTTTATTCAAACTAATTAATATATGGTAGTTGTTATGTAATGTGTATAAGCTTTTAATTTCATATATACTCATTTGCATACAAATCACAATATAGAAGTGACACACACCAGTATATTAGTCACAATCACGACGATCAGGGTCAGTGTATTCGACACATTTAGAAAGATCATACAGTGGTGGTAGATTTGAGACGATATCTTAAGTGGAATGGCTATAAAACCGTGTCTATAAATCGTAAAGATGACTTGGCTTTAAAATGCACGGATTGTGTGACCGCTTGCAGGGAGGAATTAATTGATCAAGAACATCGACAAGTCTTATTTAGAGTCAATCGTCTTCATGTATTTGAACAATATTTATTGTGTCCATTATTTAATATCTTTTCTGGGTCAAGATAAAAGACTGTATATTCTTGCTACCAAACCAATGTATACGTTTCTCAAGTAATTTGCTCTTCATTACAGTTTATTGAATTTGAAGTCTTGAAAAAGAAATCATTTCTCCAAGTCGATAGCTGGATCATCTACAATACGACAACATAGTGTATCTGCCACCGCGATCTGATCGAAACTATACGTATTGTATAGTTTCGAGATGTACATTTAAATGTGAAATGCGCATCACTGATTAGCAATTATAATTACATAATCTCTTGTTTCACGTGTGCTTGAAACGAATAATTTTGTCTCTGGATGAATTAATGGTTAGGATATGACAGCACGTCCCAATGCGGATTGTCAGCGGTGTAATTGCATAGATGTGATGAATTCATATATGGAGTAGTGTGCATCCTTGCGAACATCTGATGAGCACTACAATATCGTCGTCTCCAGGTAGATACTAGTAATATATCAGTATATCTAATCTTCAAGAATGACACAACAGGTGGAGCAATTGTTTATAAATCAGAATGACGAGGAACAATGGAACCATGGCAACAAAATGAAGACCTGGAAGAAAACATCGATAACATTGGGAATGAGAATGCGGCGTAGTATGAGACGGGTTAAAACAGTGAGTAGCAATGTTTTTTCTACGCGATAGAGATATTATTACATTGCAATCAGATGAAAGGAAATTATTTTAATGAATAGTTATTAATTGGAATAACTTATAAATGCAGATCGTGGCTGATGTTTTCTAAGTAAAGTTGTACATCCTATGTTAATTATAATTATAATTGTGCATAGTTACATATATATATATATATATATATATATATATATATATATATATATATATATATATATATATATATATATATATATATATATATATA